TCAGAGCCCTCAGGTCCCACAGAGCTCCAGGGAAGGGTTAGCTCAGTGTGGGCAGAACTCCAGGGAAGGGTTCGCTCGGTGTGGGCAGTATTGGAAGGAATCTGACTGAGGATGGGGAGGTACACAGTGCCTAGTCCTTGTCCTTCGTAACCCAGACCATGAGACTCAGGACTGCACATGAGCACCCTGGCAAGTGATGAGTCAGTTGTAATTCCATGTATACTTCATTGAGGTCTAGTTGGCAGGCCTCCCTAGGGAAGAGGGCAGCGGAAGAAGAGAACATGAGGGGGGTTTGGTGTTTGCCAGACTTTCCAGACCAGAAGAATAACATGGCAGCTATCAGCTCATAACATAACCAGCTGGCTAAGTGCTAAATTTCTGCCAGTTCTGACTGGTAGATATTCTGCAGGGGGTCCTTATGTGGTTCAGTCTAGTCATTGGCTACAATCCAGGCATTTTAGGAAGTCTTAGCCTCTTAAGACATGGTGCAGATTTTTTCTACAGAATTTCCTGCCTGACACCAGGAGCTGCACCAGGAAGCAGAGTACAGACAAGAGATGTCCCACGACGAGCTCATTACCAGGAAAACACAAAGGTGGAGAGATCGAAAGCCTAAAAGGCCGGGGCGGGGGGGAATTTCCTCATGTGCAAAGTCCTAGAACATATGCCACCCTGCTGACTGCACGCTTCACTAGTGTAATCCATTTTAAGGTGAAAAATCATGGTTTAAGCAGCATTTTGGGATGGGGGACCCATGACTTAGAATTAGATAAACTATATATAGACCTTCTCACAATTTTCTTGCTGTCTAAATTTATTGAATTATTTAACATTTTTGAAATTCATATTCTTCATTTACAAATAACTTCAGGTACAGGTGAGATCATAATGATAATAGCTGAATTTATCAAAGAGCCTGTGGGCTTTCTTCTGAGTCCTCACAGCCTACCAAGCCTGTGATTCCCTTACCAAACAAACAGATGCAACAAAGTTGGGTGAGTTGGCTAAGGTGCTTCAGTTAGTCATGCTTTTTCTTCAAGTGCTTTGCCTTTCCTATATAAACATTTATCCTACTATAACTAAGAATTAATTTTAAAAAGTTTTGCGTGTATGTATTTTCTAACTTCAAAATGTAACAAAGAATTTTTTAATTTAAGAATTTTTTGGTTATCATTATTGTGTGTGTGTGTGTGTGTGTGTGTGTGTGTGTGTGTGCATGATGTACCTGTGCGAATACAGGTGTGCTCTCACCATGGTGCCCATGTGGAGGTCAGAGGAAACTCTCAGGAGTCAGTTCTCTCTTTCCACACTTGGTTCTGGAGATTGAATTTAGGTTACCTTTATCCACTGTGCCATCTCCATTTCATCGGCCCAAACATAATAAAGAATTTCTAGGACGGTTCAAAATCAACCAAGAAAAAAGTAGAGTTAATAAATAATGAGGATCTCTCGACAAATTTGTAGAGTGACTTTCCTGAGTTGGGTTGTAATGGTAAAATAAGAAGTTTTATTAACTCAGAAAACACATTATTTTATTGACTCATGTGCTTGGCAATATAATCCATCTTTATTTTGGGGGTGTTCTAACATTTTTAACAGTATCAGCTGTTTTAGTATGCTGTCAGCTGATGTGCCCTTCTCATGGCAAACCTGTCCTGACATCCCCCTGAGACACACAGCTCACCCCCTGCTCTACTGCAGTGAGTTTGAATCAAGTGACACCTCTTCTTGAATGACTATGCCTCTTGAAACTTCTGAAGACAGTCACTTGCTAAAACTTTTTTGAGAATCCATAAGGCTATCCCTAGATAGTTCTCAAATTTCATTTTAGTCAGTCTATCCTTTTCCCCAATGATTTCAGATCAGCTTTAGATTCTGCTTAGCTTCAGTTTCATTTTCCAGCAGAAGTTGCAGACACCAAGAACCAAACTGCAGGAAAATGGAGGTGGAGACCCAAACCTGTTGCTAGACTTCTGACTAGTGAGCAAGGCATAAGGGAGTTTGCAAGTTTCCACCCAGGTCTTCAACAGAGAGGGAAATGGATGCTATTGCCTGTTTTATGGGCTATGAACAGTTGAAGGATGGAAAGGGGTTTGATTCATATGCAGATTGTTTTATAGCGTTTATTTTTGATGCAATTCTTTTGAACACAGAATGTTGCCTGCCCTAGAAATGATATAGAGTTTGTAGACAGTCAGGGAAAAGATGTTTTCTTGATGCCCACTGTATTCTGTCTGCTGGGCACTACACACCTGATAACCTAGTTTATCCTCACATATACTCTGCTAAATGGTTATTATGTTTATTGTTTATGTTATTTTCAACTTTCAAGTGAGGAAGTAAGATTGCCCACTGAAGTTCACATAGCTGGGAAGGTCAGCCTTGTCCACAGGAGCAAATTCTACCAGTGACATACTGCCTCTCCCAGGCACGAGTCCTGGTGACAGTTCTGTACATCAAACCAAGGAGCACAAGGAAGAAAGGAACCTGACAGAATGTTCCTGTTGGCTCCTCTTCCCTCTTTGTAACCCATAACTCCTGCCGTCCAAAGACTCTTAGGGAGACGAGCCAGGTGGCTGCATCTGAACAGGGGTAATTCAGGGGTGTCCTGTGGTCTGAATTTAAGTTTCATCGCCACCTTTTATTGGCTTGAGAATACCTTATAAATATGTCATGTTTACAACCAAATTTTTGGTTTCTGCAGTTGCAAAGTTCAGATAATCACGGGAGCACCTTCAGTCACACACGGAACCCCTTCTGTTGAGCATACTACGGGCCCAGCACCATTGCCGTGGCCCTGTTCCAAAGAAGCTTGTGTTTCTACTGAAGAAGAAAGCAAAATAAAAGCAGACAAGAAACAGATTTGTGGCTTAGATAGGGAAACACATAAAAAGTAGTCAGAGCAGCACTTGGTGTGTGTTGAATATACACTCAATTGACTATGAGTGTACATTCAACACACTTTTCTACCTTTGTAACAATTTGAAGTCAAATAAACGAGTTTATCCAGTATTCCAAATTGGGTTTATTTCCCATTAGACTTGTCTAGTGTTCTAGCAGTTTCCATCGTATCTAGCTTGAATGCTGGGGTCTCAGAAATGGAACAAGGCTGCCTGTGCTCATCTATTCTTTTGCCAATGGGCTTTGAGGGTAGGACCATCTCTTATTCAGCTGTCTATTCTAAGGTACTGTACATAGCAAATACTCAATAAAAATTTTCCTCAAAGGAGAAGAGGGTGGTAATTTGAATGAGGATTCATGCATTGCCCTTGGGTGTTTTTCTTTCTACTGGGTTTTCCTAAGAAAAGCATTGGCCATGGCATGACTATGGGATGGAATCCAGAGAAAGGAGACAGAAACGTTCACTCATCTGAGCTTCTTCCTTTCTGCAAGACAGGGCAACATCAATTTTCCCTGGCTCTTAATTGTTCTTGTAGGGAATGAAGGCTCATTCCTGAGGCCTGCCAGTGACAACAACTTAATATTGTCACAAGCAGAACAGCTTAACGGTAGTGGGGTGGCTGCCATGTCTCAGCCAGGGCCCCAGCCCTGGGGGCTATATAACAGAGAGCAGTGATCTCCCTCTACCCACTTATCTGTCAGGCAGCTGGGAGACATCTTCTCCTCCAGTCTGGCACCAGCCCACAATCTCTGGAGAAGAATTTTTCTTAAGAACTTGGGGGTAAATTTAAGCCTAGAGAGACACTGTGGCTGGGTGAACTTCTTTCTTTAAACTGGACTCAGCCTCAGTCCCTGCCTTGGGCTCTTTTGTCCCCAGGGGACTGGCAGCCTTTGGAACTGCCTTCAGCTCTGTCCTTCTAGATATGTTTTCTAGATGAGCAAGAGAAACATTCAAGACACTCAAACAGTCACGTGGAGGCTTGCATTCAGCCAATTTTTTTTTTTTAATTATTTACTTTCTTTAAGGGAGTGGCTCTAGGTGGGCTAACTAGATTCCAGTGGATGAACTTACACCAAGAGATATCTGGGTACAAATGCTTGACAGGATAGGCCTTAGCAGATATGACAGAATGCATGAAATCCAGTGAGGGCGAACTATGCGGCATATAGAGCGGGGAGGGGCCTATATTTGATCAAGATCTATTATGTGAAATGCACAAAAACTCAAAAAAATACATTAAAATTTTTTAATTATTATATTTGTATGTATGCATGCCTTGTATGCATGTATGTGTACCTTGTGCCTACCTAGTATCCATGGAGGCCAGAAAAGGGTGCCAGATTCCTTGGGACTCATGGGTGTCTGTGAACCTTATGAATCAGCATGTGGGCACTGGGACCTGAACCAGGGTCCTCTGAAAGAGTAGCAAGTGCTCTCAATCACTGAGCCATAAGTTTGAGCCTCAAACTTTTCTATTTCAATAACTGTTTTAGTAACAAGCTGATGGTTGCCTTAAAACAATCTTCAAGAAAATAGATGTGTGTGTGTGTGTGTGTGTGCGTGCACACGTGTGCGTGTATTGATGAACCAGTGGCTGACTGTTACAGAACTATATAGAATACAGCTATGCTCAATCCCTTTTTAAAAATGATTCTGGTTAACCTGGTTGTAATATTATGTTTTCTAGTTGTGAAAATGGACTCCAAAGACAACAGACAGCAAAAGAAAAAAACTCACCTTGAATGTGTTTACATCAAATCCACACGCCTTCGTTAAAATACGTCCATGTACATTTTTCAAATCTCTCTAAATGTCATCAGTAGTTAATTTTTATTTGGTTGGGTTGGTGTAAGCTCATTTATTGAATGAGAATTTGGTCCCCATTTGAAGCAATTAATTTCAAAAGTCACCACACACACACACACACACACACACACACACACACACACACACACGGGGACCCTGAACACCCACATGCATAAGCTAAGTAAGGAGCCATTGTTCACTTTTTCTTTTTCCTTTTCTTCCTTCTTACTATCTTTGACATATTTGCCACTTTTCCTCTTTCCTTTTAAATAAATGACCCATCTCTTTGCAGGACAGTGACAACCTCTGGTGGGACGCGTTTGCCACTGAATTTTTCGAAGATGATGCCACATTAACCCTTTCATTTTGTTTGGAAGACGGACCAAAGCGATACAGTAAGAAAGAAGTTTATTTTCCTAATATACCCTCTTTTTGTGACTGTACGAAAAATCTCAGGGGTCTGAGGAGACTATCGCAGCACTGACAGTCTGAAAATAATCCCTTCACTCCTGACAACCTGCTTGCTTCCCACCAAGGCACTGTCACCGGTTGGCAGCCTGAGTCACCACTGTGAGATTTCTACCCTAGGCTTAGACTGTTTGGGCATTTGCCTATTTAGAGAGTGGAATATGCACCAAGTTGCCTATAATGAGCGGGCAGCAAAATGATGAGGACTTGCCAGGTGTCTGTTCTGGACCTCCTTTTCTCCCTGATGGCTCACATCCAACATCTAGTATTCTACTTGTGAAAGTTGCTTTAAAAAATCCTCACCATCACTATCGCCCCCATCCCCCAATTCCCCCTTATCAATGATCTCAGGTATTTATTTGACAAGTGCTGTCTGTTCTCAGGCATGAGGAAAGCCACAGCTGCTTTGAACATATAGTTTGGGATTAGTTTTGCCAGAATTATAGTTCCTTGTCTTTCCAGAGAGTGATAACTCTGTAAAGATCCTCAAATTACAGCCGGTGGCACCTTGGGTAACAGCTGATCGGTCCTGATTAGGTTCAGCCAACTTGTCGGGAATCAGATTTGCTGGCTGTGCTATCAGACCAAGAGGCATAGATACATCAGCACGAAAGCAATTAGCGTCTGCTTAGATCAGACAGAGATGCGCCTTCAGGAATCAGTTGCGCATGTATGAAAGGACCTGTCAGAGGAGAAAACATTCCCACGTCACAGACCCTTAGAAGGTGACGGACCTTTCCCAGCATGAATCAGTCTGCCTGGAGCACTTGGCAATTGATAGGATTTAGGTTCTTGTTAAAATGATTCCAAACCCTGATAGTTGCTCAATCTATTCAAAAGTCACCAGGGAATAATGTTTCTTTGTTTTGTCTTGAATATGAGGATGTTTGAGAGAGTTGAGTACTATCTTGATGTATCGCATGATGAATGAATTAATTATGCTAATATATGCATGTAGTGATTTTCTAATAGTCACAGAGAAGAAAGCAGGCCATCACAGGCTTGTTGCCCTGTGGAAACTTGTTCTAGGGGCATCTCTTTAGATTTGGGTGTTGTGGGCTTTGAAGTGTCTGGGAGTATATGATAAATGTTTTGAATGAGTAGGACACTATGTCAGACAATGGGCTGGTGAAATGCCTGTGACCAGCTGTGGCATGCTGCTCATGGGGTTCCGTTGTTCCTGTGTGAGTGTCTCTAGCCACCCCAGGCTAAAGCTGTGTTTCAGAAGGTCCAGGAGAGAAATGAGCTCAGTAGTCCAGCAAACATTGCCGTCTCTAAAGGATGCCTGGCCAATGGTGACTAATTTCTACCCAAGCAGTTATCACCCCTCTGGGCTGTCTTGTTTATTCATCCACTCATTTATTTTCTGAGGCACATATTTCGGAGCTCAGATAACTTCAAATTATCATTATTTTATGTTCCTGGGCTTTGTCAAGTTGAAGGATCCATCAGGATCTGCTCAGGGAACTACAATTACAGTTCTAAAGCCTGTGCCAGTAAAATAGATTCTTGTTCTTCCCTCTGTCGACCCTGCACCCTGTATCTTTCAGGGCGAGGCAGGATCCACGCCAGTGTGAAGTGGATGTCCATGCACGAGAGGAAATGTCTGACTGTGAGCCATAGTGGCCCAGGTTTCTTTGTTTCTCTGAGCCAAAATATTTCCCGAGTGGAGAAGAGAAACAAAGATGATTGACAGACTGGAGCCGGGTCTCATCGGCAGCCTCGCTGACAGCCTGGTGATGTGCGCACGCGGCTGATGTGTGGACGAGTGACAGCTGATTGACAGCCCAGGGCTGGGAGACAGCGAAGATGAAACTTGCCTAGAAAAACTGACATGCTGTTTATGCGGTACTCCAAGCTCAGACTCTGCCACCTTAACCCATTCCGACGCAGACACGCTGTGCCAGGCTGGGAAGATGCCTGACTGTCCCTGGGCTGAGAGCTGAGGTTTTTCCTTGATGTCTCCCAGGGAAGCTGAAGGCTTTGCGTTTCTGATAGGAAAATAAGACTTACCTATTAGATTTGTAGTTATAAGAAAACTCACCCAATTATACATGCTAAGAAGTAAGAAATATCTCAGGTGGTTCCAACCTCTCCTTAGAAACAACTTTCTTCCCCTTCCTCATCTGTCTTTAGAGGGTCTGTTTAGTTCTAGCATGTCTGTCTTTGAACTACCCTGTAGTATGTGTTTGATTATTTATTTGTTTCCCCTTATTAGAATTCCAGCTCTATTTTGCTAATTGCTGAATTCATAGACCAATGAAAAACTCACATATCATAGGTAGTCGATAATATTTTCAGTTAGTGAGTAAGTCAATAGACACTTAGGGAAGTATTTATTTCACCAAGTGTAACAGTAGCAAAACAATCCTTAACTGAGCTCTTTAGACTTTCAACACTGGATAAACTTGATTCATAGTCAGTGCTCTGCTGGAATTTTCAAACAAATTCAAGGATATAGTCTAATCTACTCTAATAGAAAAGCAAAGCCCAAGCAGTATAATGATTCTGTAAATAACTGTACTTTGGATAACACAGCATTCCCTTTTTACAGAAAGTACCTTTTCTGACCCTGCTGTATCACCTATACCAGTCCCCACTCTGCCTTTCCCGGTGGGATAGGATGCCAGGTAGCATAAACTGAGCACTGGAGGTTCATGTAGAGATTGTGCACGTCTTTGTAGGAGATTGGCGGTGCTTGATGTTGGGAAGTGCAGAATGGACAAAGGTAGAAATTGGGCTGTCTGTCCCACACTAGAGGCACTTGCCTGCCCTGTGCAGCTTTCAGTAGAAGGAGAGGGTGGCAGTGTGGGGTTGGAGCTCTTCTTGGAATTATGTGATTCTCCAGAGGGAAGCAGATGATGAATGGGAAATTCCTTCTAGGAGCTGAAGATTCATTTTCATTGTGTTTGTGACATCATCTCCTGTAGCCCAGGCTGGCTTTGTATTCCTTGTGTAATTGAGGAACTTACTTCCTCCATCTCTGGAATACTGGGATTAAAGGTGTGTGCCACCACATCTGGTTTATGGGGTGCTGGAGAGCAAACTCAAGGCCTCAAGTATGTTAGCTCCCTACCAACTGAGCTACAACAGAGCCCCATGAGCTTTTTCTGATTTTGGAATGAGATTCTGTCCCTACATTACCCCATAACTAAGGGCAAAGTAATGACTTCATTGACATGCACATTTTTGGTAACAGATATAAGGTCACAAATAATCACCATGCCTTTATTCAAAATAGGATGCCCAGGAAACCAGGGTTGTAGGCCCTCAGAGTCTGAATGTTGTGCCTGCTTTGTGATTCTAATCCTGCATGGTGCATTGTTAGTCCTTCTCTGTCTTGAACAGAGGAAACTTTGTTAGATTAGGTTGATTGCCCACTACTCAAAGAATCTTGATTTTTCCTTTGCTCCTTTTAGGCGTGTGGCTAAAGTGTGCTCCCTACTCATCTGCCTTCTCATGACTTCTCACAGTCATCTAAGTGACATGCTGCTAGGAGTCTCCTCAGCAGACCTAGCCAGTGATCAGGCCTTCACTGGCTGCACTCTTAGGAAATATGTGTGGGGTTCACAATTCATTCAAGAAACATTTTCTTGGGAGCAATGTTTAGGGAAAGATCCAAAGGACCATGTGCTGTGTGTGAAAGGTGGAGGCTGCAGGGAGTGTTGGAAAAAGTATAAAGAGCTAAAGCAAGGATTGCTGGGCTGTAGTCCATGCCTTGCAGGATAGACACAACCTCCTTTCTCCATGTGCAGAGTGGCCACAATACTACCATCACTCGGTTGTGGCAAAAACTAAAATCAAAGAGCCTAGGACCATGTGAAGCCCATGGTCACCAGTGTTTATTACTATTGACTTTCTGTGCCTTCCGGGCATTGGTGATGCTGGCTTTCTGGTAGGAAGCAGAGTGTGGAGCTTGGTGCAGAGCGACCCTAACCAGATAGGGCGCCCACAGGACCTCTCTGGTGTACAGTCTTGCTGAAACCCAACAAGATTAGATTCTGGGCTTCCCTGCTTTCAGCTGTGCTACAGAGATGCTTGTATTTCACTTCTGGTCTCTGAGGAATGGACAGGAAGAGGAAACAGGGAAGAGGAAAGCATATTGGGCTCTGTACTTTGGAGGTAAAAACTCCAGAACACTTCATTAAACTTGGCCAGCCGATGTTTGCGGGAAATGATATAACTAATGAAACATCGATTTGTCTCAGATCTGCCCTTGATGGCCTGCTTCTTGGGGAGAGGGGACTTTGGGTTTGATACCTGAACTCAACATTTGGAGTAAGTCACTTTGGGCGCATCAGTGGCTTTATCGGAGAGGTGAAGGTTGGGCAAGATGATACATTGAATGTTCTTAGCAGCATTTTCAGCCCTTTGAAAATGCTCTATAAATATTAGCTGCTGTTATTTGATTGAAATCCAATGAGCCTACTGCTCTCTCTAGATTGAGACCCGGGACAATTCAGATAAAATTTTGATTATTCCTTTAGCTAGTGTGTATAATTTTAATTCTGGACTGAAGTTCCCACCAGTTGTCTTTGAGACACCTGTTATCCCAGCTTGCCTTCCACATTGTGCCTAAAATGAGGCCTTGTGGCAGGACCACACACCTTCCCAGTCACACCAATAAAAATTATTTTGTAGCTGCTAGGGGGACAGTTCACTTTCCAAAAAACAATCAACAATACTTCATAATTTAGGAATTCTGCCTCCATCAATGCCTTTATTGTCCACAGTCATCAGCTTTCATTAGGCAACTTGAATTGCAAATTGGTCCCTCTGTGGAGACATTTCAAAGCCCCCTGCTTCTTTTATGTTTGTTTTCTGCCCCTATCTCCCTTTTTCTTTGGAAAGCTCTGATAACTGCAGTATTGACTCAGTTTTTCAATTTTGTCTTATAATGTGTGTTTTATGGGTTGTGTGTTTAGCT